CTTCCCTGAGGTAGGAGTGTGAGCAGGAGAGTTAGAGGATCTGGGGGATTTAACAGAATAACTGATCCTCAGCATTGCCTTGGCAGAGGGGTAGTGAAAACGTATTGGCAGTGTGCAGAAGAGAATAGAGAAACCTACTGCCCCAGGCAGCTGCTGCCATGTGGACACAAGCTCTGCTGCCCAGGAGGGTCCTGTAGTGAAGGGGTTTGCAGATGGCCACGTAGCGGTCATAGGCCATGACAGTGAGGAGATAAAACTCTGCTGACATCAGAAAGACAAACAGAAAGACCTTGGCAGCACATCCCAAAAAAGAGATTTCCCTGTTGTCCCACAGGGAATTGGCCATGGATTTTGGAAGAATGGTGGAGATGCAGCCCAGGTCGAGGAGGGAGAGGTTGAGGAGGAAGAAGTACATGGGGGTGTGGAGGCGATGGTCGCAGGCTATGGCAGTGATGATGAGGCCATTTCCCAGGAGGGCAGCCAGGGAGATGGCCAGGAAGAGCCAGAAGTGCAAGAGCTGCAGCTCCCATGTGTCTGCAAATGCCAGGAGGAGGAACTGGGTGACGGAGCTGCAATTGGACATTTGTTCCATTTGACCATGGGATTACTGTACATAGAGGAAAAGGCAGTGACAGTTAGGGAAGATTTCTCTGAGTAAAACCCATCACAGTTCTCACAGAAAAGCACCAAACATCCTCTCCTGCTCACAATAAACTTTGCACATTGCCTTTGCTTGAATTCTGGTTTGTGCTTGTTGGGGGTGCCACTGAGTAAAAATGCTATGCTATGGGCTCTGGAGAAGTCAATCCTGCCCTGCACCAACAGGTAATAGGAACAGAGGTTTACATCACATTAAATCCACTCGTGATATTAAAGAGCTTTTCAGAAGGCAATATTCTGTCCCTCGACCCTGGTCTCATCTGCCTGGTGCTGGCATCAAATTGAGTTGGAGGAAAATCACATTCAGATCTTCACCGTAAAAGAAACTGAATATTGCTTAGGGCAGAGGAATCCAGTTTCCAAGGGCAGATCTCCAAACCTCTCACCCTGTCTCATGGTACCTGAGCAGGATCTCAGCTCTCCCCTCCCAGCCAGGGACACCGAGGGCTCATTGCAGCTGCCTGTGCACGGTCACCCAGCAGAATTTCCGTGGGCTTAGCACTGAGGTTTCTTCTCCATGAGGCTCCTGGATCCCTGGGCGAGTTGGTCCCTTGTGGAGGGTGGCCTGTGGCCACCCTGAAGGATTCTGCAGGGAAAGAAGGAAATGGCCTAAGGATGGGGTGTCCTGAAGGTGGAGTTTTCTCATTTGTATCACTGGGAGCTATGGGTTTAGGAAGGAATGAGGACACTTTATTCCCGTGGAGAAATCTGTGTGGCAAGACCCCCAGGGTTGGTCTCTGAAGTGCATCTGGATCCCACCCTCCCCTCTGAGTTCAGTGATAAGAACGAGAGGAGCAGAGGCAGGAGGGGGATATGGACAAATGCCACAGTGCTGCTACCGATGGAGTTATGGCAAGGACAGATGGGAGGGTATTTGAGAATTTCTCCTCCTTAGGAGTGAGGTCACTGAAAAGGGGATTGCACCCCCATGGGGCAGCAGAGGCTGTGCTGGGTGGGAGAAAAGACCAAGGGTTTTCTCCAGGGAAGGGCTCTGCACTGCAGGGGATGGCAGGGAGGTGCCGGAATCCCTCTTTCCATGGCAGCTCCCTCTCCCTCTCTGCCCATATCTCTTCTGCCTGCAGCTGTTTCTCTGTCCCCATGTGTCCCCCATCACTGCTCACAGACCCCATCCCAAATGCTGTGTGCTCAGCTCTGTCCTGCAGAACCCTCCTGGCAGCAGGGCACTGCCCAGGGGCATCTTAGAGTGTGCGGGGGCTCAGGAGCAGCTCAGTCCCTGCAGGAACTGGGGTCTCTTAGTGCCTTCTCCAGAGCAGAAAAGTAAACTCTCATTCACCACTGCCCACCCAGCCAAACAAAGGTAAAAACCTCAAAGCAATGATTACTTACCTTTAAGGAAAATCTACTTGAAAGTTCCCTTGGAACTGCCCACAAGTAAGATGCAACTGTAAGCAGCCCTGACGCATACAACACACTCTACACATCAGAAGGACCCTGTCCTGCCAATGGTCACTCCTTCCACCCACAGCTTCTCCCCACATTGCAATGGGGAGCTCCCCAAGCAGGCTGAGTGCTGATCCTGGCAGGCAGCAGAGTCCCTGTCCCAGCACACAGCCCCTGGGGTGCAGCGACCCTGCTTTGAAGGACAGCCCTGGGCACCCCTGGATGCACATCTATATGCACATCTCTATCATGCCCTGTCCCTCTGATGGTGCAGTAGGGAAACCCTGCTCTGGAGCATGTTGTTCTTCTCTATGCTAGAGCAACTCTGAGAAAACTCTGAAAGATCTCATAGCTTTGGGGAAGAAGAAGCTTTATGAGATTTTTTTCCAAAACCGCAGCTGCACTGCCTTCCAGCCAGAAACTTACCTTGTCAAAAGCTGTGAGGTTTTTTCCACAAGTGATCTCTCTTCTGTCCTCACACCATAGACTGCCTTTAACCTTTCTCTGCCTTGCTCCTCTCCCCTCGCTGCCTGCAGGCAGTGCCCTCAGCCATGCTCCTGGGCAGAGCTGTCTCTCTGCAGCGCTGCCCGCTTGCCATCAGCTCCCTGTGTCCCAGGAGCCCAGCCCAGCTTAGCAGCAGAGGAACAGCCCAAGACTGATGTAATCGCTGATGTCCCCTCCTTCAGCTGGGGTGAGACACTTCTTTCTAGCAGTGAAATATCTTTCATTAGAAAAACAGTTGAGCTTTAGAATCAGCTCTTCTTCTCCCATCCATAGACAGGACAAGAACATGACAGGAAAGGATCTAATTTCTCAAAGTTGTTGGAATGTTTTCAATTTAGTGAATTCAAGAATTTCATTTTGGTTTAGTAGTCCAAGGGATACAAAGACATTCTGAATTATTTTGTCCATGCCATGTCTCTGCTTTGAATCAAAGCCTTTGTACACATGGGGTCTGGGATGCTTGGCACCAGGATTCAATATGTCAAGGACGAACTTGCTTGAGATGCCACAGCTTGAGTGTTTTAGTGACAGATGTGCAGCTTTGCTCTCAGCCAGGGGCACAGACAGGATAATCTGGAGCCATTCATGTTGGAGACAGAGCTGTGACACTGAAGGAATCAATTGCCAAGGCCTGGTGGCAGAGCTCAGTACAGCTGGTCCTCACTGACAGCATTCTCCAAGCACAGCAGTAATTCAGAACAAAACTCAGTCTGAACTTGAAAGGTAGCATGTCTTACAAAATATCCAGGATATTTCCCAGGCTTTGAAACCCTACAATGCCAGAGAGGCCTTGAAAATCTGGATCCAGTTCAGTGAAGTACTACCAAGGTGATCAGGGCTGGAAAAACTGTACTGTGAGAAGAGGCTTAGAGATCTGGGCTTGATCAGCTGGGAGAAGAAATGAACTTTGGAGGGGATAGGGGAAATATGTTGAAGCCTTAGACAGTTCCCAGAAACACTGAGTCAGGCTTAAACCATGGTATCAAACACAGGGGCAAGAGGCACTGGGCTGAAACGAGATTTTTAAGGCTACATATAGGGAGAAACTTTTTAAACATGAAGAAATACAACTGCTGGAAGTTGTTCCTCTTAGAGCGTGGGCTGCATCTGTGCCGGGAAGTGGCCAGGACGTGTTTCGGTAAAGCCCCGAGTCACAGAATCACAGAATCACAGAACGTTAGGGATTGGAAGGGACCTCAAAAGATCATCTAGTCCAATCCCCCTGCCGGAGCAGGAACGCCTAGATGAGGTTGCACAGGAAGGCGTCCAGGCGGGTTTTGAATGTCTGCAGAGAAGGAGACTCCACAACCTCTCTGGGCAGCCTGTTCCAGTGCTCTGTTACCCTCACTGAGAAGAAGTTTCTTCTCAAATTTAAGTGG